GAAATGCAAAAAAATTAATTAGGTTTTTTTTTTCATCCTGACTACTTTTAGAGATGAAAGCGATAATAAAACAAAAGTGCAAAAATGTATTTTTTTTTTCCATGAGGATAAATGATAATGCTTAAGATAAAGTTTATATTTAATTTTTTTTTTGTCCGCCTCGAAGAATAATTTCTTTCCACGTGGAACTAAATCGCATTTTTATCAAACTAACGTATGGCGAAATCTTGGACTCCTTTAACCTTTTTTTTTATTATTCTTTTTTTTTAAAATTAAAATGAGATTTTGAAATTGCAAATCCGGCCCTAAGCCCGTCCAGGATACACTCGCCTGGTCGGATATTTCGAAACCGAATATTTTAAATCGCCATTTTTAGCTATAAAAATTAAAAATGAGAATCCGGGCCGGGTCGGGCCGCGTAAATGAAACCTCCATTAATTAAAATAAATCACGAAAGGATTGTAATGCAAGTGTATAATTTTTCAAATAAAGATTTGAATGATTTAAAAATGAAAATATTTCATTGAAATATCGGAATTTTATTTTTCACCCTTTTTCTTAAAAGTATGGTGATGATTTATTTTTACATTATTTATTTTGAAGAATTGTCTACAGAGGGGGAGGGGGTAAATAAAAACTTAGTCTATCCTAGCATCAAAAATTTCCATTAACGTTAAGTCTACACTAGGACCTTCAAGCGTTTGAGCCAACGTTAAGCCTAGAAATCGGGCCTTATATTTAGGGCTTTGCAAAGTGTTTTTTCGCTGCCCGAACCCATCCCCGAGCATAAATTTTTGGTTCCAGCCCTGCTAAAACATTTTTGGAATGAGTATGAAATATCATAATATTTTAAGGGAAAATTAAAAGATACGTGTATTTAGTCACATATTGCCACCTTAAATAATAATATTATTTAATTCCCAATTTTATAAATGTATAATTCTTAGGCTATTTATTTGAATAAATCATTGATAGGATATAAATTATCAAATGAAAATAACTGTTATAACAGATTAATATTCTATATTTTATGTTGGCCAAATGTAGAATATAAATACATATATATTTTATTTAACCTTATAGAATATGATGTATATAAGTGATAGAGTTTTAACTAGTCACAATACAAATCATCAATGACAAGAAATTGTTATTTGGGGAAAATGGAAATTACGAAAATGAATAAGTGAAAAAATGTGCGAGATGAAAGATGACATGATTTTGATTGACATTTCGATGAAACCAAATAATTATTCCGACCCGAGCCCGAGAAAAATATCCGATCCAGACCCGAATAACCCGTACCAGACCCTACTTATGCACATCACGAAAGGTTCAGATGCTTTAATATGATCCAACGATAGTACAATACTTATCGAGATTGATCATTTATTTATAAAAAAAATGTATTTGGTGTCGTTAAATTAAAATGTCATGCCCACAGCTGATTTGTATAGAATACACATTTAAATGAACGAATAGTCGCTTTAGGTAAATATTATAATGAATGTCATTGGTTATGTTATGACCTTATGATAACGCGACGGAAGCATTTTTAATATGTGAATGAATAAATTTTAAATTTATTTATTTACATCTAGTGTTTTATTTTTCCCCTATGAAATTCTTGATCTCCTTCAAAGGTATTTTTTTTCCAGTTGTTTTCATTTGATGGTTCCATCAAAAAATAGATTTGGAGCTAACTAAAAAAAAAAGTAAAAATTAGAGCATATTTGGGCATAGTGTTATATTTAATCCTTTAAATGTTTTACTTTGCATCATGTACCGTTTCGTTGTTTGGATTAGAGGTCTGCAACAGGCGGGCTTTAGCCAATAATCCCGTCCACTCGTTGTTCGAAATTTTTTTTTAACCCTCCCACCTAATGTTAAATGGTTGTTTTGGCTCTTTATTTATTTTAAATGTATTTTATAATAAACGTATATAATGTGCAATATTATGAAATAAAACTATTATTTTTAATAATTTTGATGTCCGTTCTGCTCAATTTCGTTTGAAAAAAATATTAAAAATTCACTCTCCCAAATCCTGCTCATTACATAAGTAAGGTACGCTAATCTCTTTCGCGAATAAAAAAAAATCGCCGCTACATGGAAGCGCTAAAAAAAAATCAGTGAAAAAAGATCTTACTATATTATTATGTAATTTTTATAAATAATAAAAACTAAACACACAAAAAAAAATTTCTTTTTTTATGTTTATATATATACATTATAATATAAATTTTTTTAAAAGGAATATTAATATATATATATATATATATAACGTGCAAACTAGGAAAGACGAATTAGAAAAGTTTGAAAAAAAATAAAATCGAAAAAAAAATCGATATAATAGTATAACTAATTTATATATAAATCTTTCAGCCTTCCAACTCTTGGTCGGCTTAAAATGTAATGTAACATTTTCATGTATATTATTTAAAAGAAATTTTTTTTTTTTCGGAATTTAAATCACCTAATCTTCTCAGACATTAGAATGTAATATTTTTGATTTTAAAAAGTATCGCATAGGTTTGTTAAAAAGCCCGATAAGATTATAACCAAAATAACATTACACAAGCTCCTAAATATTTTGCTCATGTCTGGTAGAAATGCTTGGGCATCTATTCGCCAAATCTCTAGGCCTACTTTATAATATATAATTTTAGCTAAAATCTTAACCCCGGGCCCTTTTAAGTTATTAATTTTTTACAATTTTTAACTTATTTGGGTAAAAGTAAATTGATTAATTAATTTAAGATGTCTATAGACATGTTTAGAAATAAATAACTCGGAATTTCTATAAATTTTTCTTAACCGGGCCGGTTTGAAGAAATTGAACTCAAATCAGGCCTTTTAACAACACTAGTGTTGCAACAACATATTCTATTTTATTTTTTATTTCTTTTAAATCCTTTTCCATGTTAATTTTTTTTAACATTCAAAGCTATTTTTGCCGTCTCTTATTTATTTTTTTACCGCAAATGTGTGATGGCGATGATAAAAATTTGAAAGAGAATAAAAATGATTAACGGGCCAAAGTGGGAAAAGGGGGAAGAATCCCCAAGATTATTTTTTTTTAATGTTATAAAAAATACATTATCTGCCAAAATAATATACGTAGGTGAAATTCGAGGTATAAGGAACCCGAAGCCCTTTTGGAGAGAGAGAGGAGAACGCTGACTGAATGTTAACGCCTCTTTTTAATTATATTATGCGTAAGATGAGACATGTTTATATATATGACTAGCTATTATTACATTGTGTACGCTATCTTTTCTCCCCGACTGATCCACCTCTTTGCCACATTTGAAGGGGAGGGGAAGATAGATTTATCGGCGTACGCGCAAGGTTTTGTTTTTGAATCCAGAGATCAGCTCGGCTGGAAGCGATCCTCTAGGAATATTGAAAGTTTTTATGGTCAGGCTGGCATACTTGACCCCTCGTGATCATTTCCGTTAATCATAAATTTGCATCATTCAAGGTTTTGAAAAAATCCGAGTCTGTTTTGCACGAATAACCCGGTGCGGTTCGAAAATATTTTGCAACAGATCTCCGAATCCAAGGTAGATCATGTGACCTATATGGAACCTCTTTATTTCATTATTATTGTATACGTATTTATATTTATCCTTAATTTAATATTGATGACATGACGTTCAATGACGCATAATTTTATTTTATGCCTATCACATGATCGATTTTTTTTTTACCTTATAAAATTAATCAATTTTTTTTTCGATCACTTAAATGTAAAATTAGTATGACGCAAAACTACGTATCCATTGTTAATCAATATCGAAAAATATTCAATTTGTCTTTTGAACTTGAGACATTTAAAATAAAATATTAGAAGATAAGAGGGGGGGGGGGTGTTATACCCCGTGACCTGTGGGGATAGGCCACATTTTTGCATGCAGGAGCCTCAAATTATGGGGAAGGACTCCATAAGAATTTTAGTTATTTCATGTTACGCCTCTCTAGAGGCGGGTTGTAAGTGTTAGAATATTAGACCAGACCGCACTTTATGAATGATTTTAATTTTACTCTTCATTTTTAACCGTCATAAACTTGTAAAGCTACGCCCAACGCTTACTTACTTTTTCGTAACCAATCACGTATTAGATACAATTTCTCCAAAAATAAAAAATAAATTTAGGACAACATATCAAACTTTGATTTAGACTTGTAAAAATATCCTTAAAATGTCATTTCGAATTTGTGCAAAATATCACTTTAACCCCCCCCCCCCCTCCACCCCTCTAGTAGAGATAACGTGGGGAGTTAAAAATTTGTATAATTAATTTTAGGAGATATTCCAGCACGATAATTTTATAATGGCGTTTCCTATATTTTAGGTCAAAAGTGCTTAAAAATTTTATGAATTTTATATCCGTCCAATAGTCATTCAACCACTTTACCTCTCCGTCATATCTCATGGGGACTAAAATATAACGCGCAAATGACATATCTTTATCTGATTTTATTTATATGACCATATACCACAACCTTATAAATTTGAAAGGCTTAGATTTACTGATTGATGAACCTGTTTTTTGAAAACGGCCAATTCCATATTTTATCCAGATGAATATTATGCAAGCCTTAGAATTTTGCTCATAGATTGCACAGAACATCTTATTAACGAAATCTCTAAGCTTAATATTTGTGAAGCTAAAATATTGAGTAAGCCCTTTTTAAAAATCGGCTCGAATAGAGCCTTCGTACAACACTAACCATCAATTTATATAAAGATGAAAATATTTAATCATACATAATTAATATTTAATAATATCTCATTAAATTTTTCCATCTTTGAACCATTTTTACAAAAATAAAAAAAAACATGGATAAAATTTTTATGAAATATTTCGACAAAGGTAAAAAAATTTTTTTTTTAAATATCCGTCGGGTTCAAAATCCGGGCCGGGTTCTAAAAATTTGACCACCAACTATTTTTTTAAAAATAAATTTAAAATTTTGATATTCGCAAATTCAAGATCCTCCTTATCCCAAACTAGATCTTCCAAAAAAATTCCCGGGTTCTTCTCGAATCCAACGTCGCCCTCCCGGGACTTCAAACAGTCAGCCATGTCTCTAACGTCGAAGCTTCCTCTTGAATTGGGCGCAAGCCATTTAGTTTCGTTATTCAGGTGCGATGAAAAGTTTTTATATATTAAACCACACCTTTTTGACCATAAATAATTTTTCTAAACATCATCATGGTCACTTATGTCCTTCATAAGCCAACGAGAGAAAGAAAGAAAAGAAAAGAAGAGAATTCGATGTATGAATATTAGAAATAGGATTTGAGCGAGTATAATAATGACCCTTGCGATAAAACGTAAGCTTTAAATGACTAAAAGGGAAAATAATGATAGCTGGTTGGCTCAGCTGTAATACAACGATTCGCGAACCAGAGAAGGTATAACACCTTCTGAATTGTTTCTGGGTCGAAGAACCAACGTTCCATTCGATTTATTAAGACCCCCCCCAAAGACGGGGTTGAAACAAATAGGGGACAAATAATTTGGGCTTATTTGATAATTAAGAAAAGAAATGGGCTATGGGGTATAAGATCATTTAGATAGGCTCTAGGTTAAATAAGATGTTATTATTAATTGGTGTTACCATTATTCGTCATATAATGATCGTATACGATCAGGAGAAATGTAATGTGTTGTAATATTGTGGATTTAAATTAATTTAACATTAATATTGTGATTTTCATTCAATATAATATATTTTATTAATCATTCGTAAAAACTTATTAACTTTTTCCCAGTGACGAAGCGTCAGGTTCACTACTAGGGAAGCAATCAAAAAATTTTTTTTATTTTTATTTTAGTCAAACTCAAACCATAAAAACATTAAGATTTATAAATAAGTGGTATTCGTCATTGTTTTTGAGTAAAATAATAGTACTGCATTATAAAAGTTATTGATAGATTTTAAATTTTTTAATAATTTTTTTCAATCGAAATCAAAGATAGATTCGATAATTGATTTTGGCTCATCCTGTTTCTGCAATAAGATTTAATTCTTTTTAAAGATGAAAAACTCCGTTCTGCACTTGCTGTTGTTGAAGCGCCAAAGTTAAGATAAATTTGCATAATTTAAAAAACTCTTTAAAACTTTTCATCAAATGGTGCATATTAAAAAATCAAGCATTTCATTAACATTCTTTTTCTTTTTAAATTCAATATCCCGAAACACTACCTTAAATTCGGTATCCAGCTTGTGTAAGTCGAAAAATTGAAAATAAGTGTCGTTTAAATTATCTAATAAATATTTTGTGAAATTTTGTTTATTTGGAATTTACTAATATCTAACAATTCGACAAATTTAATATTTTTTGGTGTAAGACTTTTTATGAAATAGAATTAATTAAATCATTTTGAATATCGCTTGATAGTCCAATAAAAACTGCACTATTTCTAAATGATGTTTCAATAGTAAATTTTCTTCCGCGAGAAAATAAATTAATTCAATATAATTTCCTCTATTTACTGAATTAGAAGATTCATCATCACCACGGTATACGAGCTCCTGAATTCCAAGAAAATATATAGAGTTGATCAATATTTTCAATATTTCTCTATTTTATTTAACTTTAGAATTATGCTGTTTCGATTGATATTTTGCGCATCAAATCTATCATATTTTAAATACGATTTTGGCCAAATGTTTTTAATTGAATCATCGACTGCAAAAGAGCGGTTAATTCTTCATGCCGTTGCCTTTGAAATATTCATATCCGAAAACCTTTATCATTCCAAATATATTTTTCCTTTGGGAATAATAGGCATGACCAACAATATAGAGAATTAGAAAATTCACATCCAGTGAGCCATTTATATTTTTCATATTTATCGATAGAAAAATTACGGATACAAGTTTTGATTTCTTTTTTTAAATTTTGTAAAATTGGGTTTGGTCTTCCTTTTCAATAATCAATTTTTTCGCATCAAGATTTATTTAGCTAAATGATAATGTTAATAAATTTTCAATAATACATTTACAATTATTAAACATTAATTAAGGATTTTAAAAACGAAAAATTTTTTATTAAATGAAAGGAAAAAATATTATATAAAAAAATTTCTTTCTCTTTTATTTATTAAAAAAATAAGCATTTTTTTATTTGCTTCTCAATGCTTATATTTTAAATACCATGGCATGATTTTCTCTTTATTAATTAAAAAAAATAAGCAATATTAAATTTGCTTCCCTTATGTATATTTTTTTAACGTAGTAAAAATATAGTAACTTTTTTAACATAGTAATAATAGTATTTCTTAATATAGTAAAAATAATATTAATTTTTTAACGCCATAAAAATTATAATAATCTTTTTTACGTTATAAAAATTATATTAATTTTTTTAACGAAATCAGTTTAGTTTATTTAGCATAGTACAAAGATTATATTAAGTTTATTTAAAAATTTTGTAAGAAAAATTTCAACATAAGTGTAAATTAACCTACTTTTATAATAATAATATAATAAACTTGTAACTTTCCATATGCCATGTTATGCAACAATATTATATCATAAGTAAATTAAACAACTTATTTTTGTACTACCAAAGTACTCAGTTGTTACTCGTCCCATTCTTAAAATTCAATATTATTGTAACTGTAAGACTGCAACTTTATGTTCAACGAAAAACACCATATTCATGCTGAATGTAGATCACAATATTACAATTATTCGCCCGATCTCACGTGATCATAATAGCGGTTGACTATAATGTCAGATAATAATAATATCCTATTTAACCTAGACCTATATGATCTAATACCCTGCACTTAGCCAATTTCGTCTTTTTATTATCAAATAAACGTGCCCAGACTAATTGTCACACACTTAATTTTGTTGGTTTTATCCGAATAAACGTTATAACATCGATATTTTTGGGTTTCAATAAATCGAATGGAACCTCTTCGACCCAACAATTCAGAAGGTATTACATCTTCTCTGGTACGCGAATTGTTTAAATACAGCTGAGCCAACCTGCTATCATTATTTTCCTTTTTAGCCTTTTTAAGCCAATTTACAATGGCTACCAACCTCTCAGCTTGTCTGTTGGAGCTGGGATGATACGGTGGCTCAAAAAACGTGTTTATTCTATGACTCGGCACAAATTTGTTCAAAATGCTCGCTTACAAAGGCCGGATCTCCATCGGATACGATAGTGTCAGGGTAATCCAAACCTGGCCCATAATTCACATAATAAATTTAATAACAATTCTAGTCTGGTACCCGTAAAACCTGTTCATATTCGATCCACTTCGAATAAAAAAAATAAGATTTTTTTAAAAGCTAAATCAAAGAAATCTATATGAATCCGTTCCCACGGTTTCATTGATTTAGGCCAAACACTGCTTACCTATTTACGGAGCATAGCTGCGCACGAATTACACGGGATAGATTCGTTTGTAATTATTTTCAATTTTCATTGCCCATATCAGGCCACACAAATTTTGATTGGCATATCCTATTATATAATAACATATAATACTAATTGAAAAAATAGTTCAATAATATAAGAATAATTATATATTAATAATTTCAAAATCCTACGATTCATATAATATGGTACATTTATATATTTGTCACAACCGCTAATTAATCAATTCAAGTCATTAAATTTATTTTATAGCTAATTAAAATGGGAAAAAATATTACCGAATTTTTTGAAAAGAATCATCAATTATAACATATTACATAGGAGAAAAAGATCATCAAAAATACCGGTGACCATCAATTTATTATAGTCATTTTGGGAAATAAAGAAGGAAAGAAAGATGAAATCTGAAGAGCTTATGAAGTAAATGATAGTCGCCTTTTCGCCATAGTATCCTTTAGTAATATCCAAGGTTTCTTTTTATAATATCAGTGTCCTTTGGCAATTTCTGAGTACACTTCTCATTACTATTAATCACTATATCACGCAGCGACTAAAAATTCTAAAGGCGAATATTACGTTGTTAAACTTTAGTATGATTTAAGGAGAAGCGATTTTTATTACTTTCTCCTTCTCATAGAATTATCCTATCCGCAAAATGACCGAAAGTTTTTTGAGTGACTGGTTTATAATTTATTTTTATAAAGACATTTTTTGTTTTTAAACAAGCGAGCATATAAATAAAATATAAAATATTTTAGATTATATATTTTTTATTTCCGTTTTTAAAAAAAAAATAGACCATCTTCAAAGGCGGATCCCGCCTCGAGCCTTCCTTTTTCGCCTTCCTCATTTACGCTACCCCAATCTATAACTAATAACACTAACTTGCCGCTTCCGTACTCCGCCAGTACGAGTGGAAATAGGTTTTGTGTTTACCTTCTTCACTCACTTTAATTTTTTTTAAAAATTTACTCCAAGAAAAATTTATCTTCCCAAACCTAAATTGAGTAATAAAGAAAAAAATAGCGCTCAAATTAGAGACGTTAGTTGCTACTACACATTTTAAATTAGGAATCATTCATTTATATAACAATTTTAATATCCCTTCCCTTTAACTTTAACAGGATGAAAACCCACCTGTTTGAATGACATTAAATACTTACTTAGACTGATAATCAATTCATTAATTCTAAAATGTGTAACGATGCAAATCAAAAGGTGACACGCCATTTTGATTTTTCAACTAGTAAATTTGTAATATAATATCTTTTTAAACCTTTTTTTTAAATAAAACCTTTTACAATTTTTTGCATCATAATGAACCAACTAGCCACAGGCGTATGCGAATTATTTCGATAGCGGAATTCGGCAAGAAACCTCATCGCAAATCTTCCGATACAGGTGCCCTTTGCGACGTTTGTGGTAAAACCAAATTCGTCGACGGAGCCGGCCATCTTTGTTCTTATTGCAAGCGACTCTCTTGTGCTCGGTGCGGGGGAAAAGTGCCACTCAAGCCGTCATCTCCCCAAGTTATATATTTATATTCCAAGGATTATTTAATTAACTCTCAAACCTTGGTACCCCTCATAAACTAATGTATTATATTCTCTCTTGCCTAACACAAAAAAATACAGAGTATTTGGGTCTGCCTGGGCTGTCGCAAGAAACATCAATCCGTCACCAAGACCGGAGATTGGTTGGAAAAGGTTTCAACTACCGAATCAACGCAAAATCCAGAGGGTTCATCTAGAGGCTCTCTGACGGATACCTCAATTTCTGTCCCCTTTCTATCCAACACACCTTCCAGAAACGGTAGTAGCGGACATCACCTATCCTCAACTCCTTCTCACCTAGGTAGTATGCTAATTATTTTTTTGTCAAAGATTTTCGCCATTGTAAATTAGTAAACATATTATAAATGACTCAACAAGGATTTGATCAAAATAAGAACCAGAATTAAGTACCTAGTCACATAAAGTTCGTGTAAATCTTTTAGGCCATGTGCCTATATAGCAGAGACCTGCAGAGGTATCACTTCCCCGGCTTGGATTTTTTTCGGTCCGGCCTGGGTTCTATATTTTTAGGCCCGGTCTGGATTTTAAAAAAATAAATTTTTTATAGTTAATAAAAGCGTTTTAAAATATACGGCCCGCCGGGTAATTAAAAAATAATTTTTTTAGGAAAAAATTAACGGGGGCCTGGCCTGCATCTCTATAGTATCTAGATATAACTGAAAAGTATATCTTAGCAACTCTGTTAAGTACTATTATTATAATTTAAGATAATTAAAATAGTATGTATTATAATACTCAATATTTTATTTTAAACTTTTTTGCACTTATATTACACGGCCTTAGGTCTCAACAATTTCAACAATCTATCTTTCTCGTCTTCACCTACACCCCCCTTGTTCTCTGACGATTCCGCGAGGGACCAGGATTCTAGACGAGATTTTAACAAGGACTTTAACCGACATAATGCAACCAATGCCTCTGATTTAGAAGTGACGCCCAAGGCAAACGGTATCAACCACAACTATGAAGGTAATGCGTTACTCGATTCTTGTTCGAATACAGTGAATTACTATGGAAACGATCATAATGTCGAAGAGAATGAGGGACGCTCAATTGTTCCCAATGTTTCTCCCGCCTTGGCCACACCTCGCGTTAATATAATGCTAAGCGACGCGGAAGGCGTCTCTCGCCAAACGCTCAACGATAATGATGTTTACGGGTACGACGAACATCGCGAAGAGGAAGCGGATGGGGAAAGATTATTATGTCATTCCAGATCAACGAGCTCCTTTAATAAGCATCAGCAGCTTCAGAGGAGAAGGAAGAAATTGGCGTCTTCCAATATAGTCCACAGTCCCAAATGTAATTTATAAATATAATATTGCGTTTCTTTTCCCGCTTCATCAAAATTAGGGTTTATAAGTTTTAGAGGATTTGTTTCTTTTTTCGTGAACAATCGTAAAAAAAGTTATACGTTTCCAAGTCACCTGATTTCCCGCGAGTGGTTAAACATAACGGTTATGGTTAGCGGTAACAGTTTTAAATTACGTGAATAGGTTTTGTACCAATTTTTTAAAAAAATTAAAATATGAAGATTATTTTAGAGAATATTATAACTTCTCTTCTTTCAAGAATTTGGTGCGACATTGGTTACGAATTTATAAATATAATATTGCGTTTCTTTTCCCTCATCATCAAAATTAGGGTTTATAAGTTTTAGAGGATTTGTTTCTTTTTTCGTGAACAATCGTAAAAAAAGTTATACGTTTCCAAGTCACCAGATTTCCCGCGAGTGGTTAAACATAACGGTTATGGTTAGCGGTAACAGTTTTAAATTACGTGAATAGGTTTTGTACCAATTTTTAAAAAAACTAAATTATGAAGATTATTTTAGAGAATATTATAACTTCTCTTCTTTCAAGAATTTGATGCGACATTGGTTACGATTGTACGATTCTGGAAGTTCTAAATATTATCTCCAGTTTAACGGGTCTGACTCTGAGTTCCGGATTTAGGCGCGTTGTAGTGGTAATACTAAAGCCTGAAGAAATCTATTTTTTTTTATTCCCTTGTGCGGGGCTATAGGATTTTGGTTCTCTTACAATTTTCTCCGAGCCAACTTCTGATGTTTAACCTTTTTTAAAAAATATACTTTAATAAATCTATATAACATTGTTATGTTATTAGCGTAATCTTATAGATAATTAATAGCGAAACCTTGGTTGCTTCTGTTCCCTCATTTAACCTTTTAAAGCGAGTCATTATAACTCCACCCGTTTAAACTGAATCATTAACTTTCAGTGTTATTCCATGACATAGACCAAAAAAAAATTTTGATTACTTATATGAAAACGAATAAAACTTTGTATGATGGTTATAATGGAGTCCAACTTAAAAAATTATCGAAGTTTTAAAGCTCTAACTCTAATGGACCCGTGTATACGGGCTCCCAATACCTTTGCGATTTCCCTTTTAATAACCTCAAATTAAATATTTTGTTCAAATGTATAAAGTGTACACATACAAGTCTACCATGAATTGTACACATAATAGAAAAACTACGAAAATTGTAATAGGTGTTTGCAATATTGAATTGCCATTTATTTTTTTTTAAAAAAAAGAGGGTTATTTTACATAATATTATAATATATTTCATGCTTTAACTTTTTAAATAAAATATATAAAGATTATTTTTAATATATAAAAATGCTTATTTTTATTTAAATAATTTTCTTTATATTTGAATGATAATTCCTCTATCCTAACTCTTACTTAAATATTTAAATACATTGGTAATAAACATCTGGCGAGTTTAATCGTCCCAAATTGGCACTAGCTAAAACTAATCCTTGATCTACCTGAATTATATCTACGCTGAAGGGTTAAAAGTGATTTTTAAGGGCCACAAAATGATATATAATTTATAAATTAAGTGGCCAAATATTTATTGAATAATTCGAGATTCCTAAGCCCGAGAGCTCACCCGGAAATCTGGATTCATTTGAGCTATACCTTAAAATTCACACTATATAATACATATTTTACAACATATAATAACCAACAGAGCAAGTTTCATTAATTCTAATAAAAGGTATCAAATCTTAAATCGATTTGGGCATGCAATCACCCTTCACACATATGAAAGAATAAAGGGAACGGAAAAGGGATATTATAAAGAAAATACCAATCTAATTTCCACCAATCGCATTCAAATTATTTTAAGAGTGTTTTGGGGTGATTTAACCCCAAATAGTATAAACCGCGTGTTATAACCGATCTGTTATAAATTAACGGCTGTTCTTTTACTCTCAAACTTATATCACCTTAATTTGTACGGTTGTCTTAGCTTCTCCTAGTAGGACCGAGCCAGGAATGGTGACGCCCACTGTCCAGATAAATAACTCCGTCGATTTCAACCTATCCGACCCCGAGGTCTCCAGTAACGATAAAATAATCGCCGTCTCATCCGAAACCCTATGCCCGAATGCTAGGAATCGAACCAATTCTGTCGAAGGAGTAAGTTTTATAACATATTATTCTTTTAAATGTTAGTTTTTTTTTTTTGGATATTTGTTGCATTTCTTAAATTTAAAAAAAGAAGTTTCCCTACATTCCCAAGGAGGATAACAACCACTTAAAACCTCTCGAAAAAACGTACCTTACCGACGACCGACTAAAATCCAAAATTAGGGGGTTCGACGCTCGCCCATCGCTCGGTAATCAAAGAGTTCCTCGCTACGATTCGCTGAGTTCGGAGCAGAGCGAAGAACCGCATCGCGTCAAGTCGAATGCCCACCATATCCGAAAATATAAGCCCCTACCTGGTCAAAATAATGATTCAAGTTTTTTTTTACCCCACATAATTTAACTCATTTATATTTTAATTTGAATATTTATCTTAAATGTGATACTTTATTGACCCTTCTAATGTGACCGAAAAGAACCGAGCGACTGCAAACATCATCAGAATCTCCAAGACATAAGGCCTCTCCTGGATATTTATTTATAATACTAATTCTAGCTTTAGCGATATGAGTATATATATCTAAACATATTTCAGGGAAATCTCTCAAAATTCAATCGTTTTGAAATTTATTTATTTATTATTATTCAAAAAAAAGAAGAAGTTATTTATTTGTTGTAAATTGTAATTATTCATAATTTTAAGAAGCTAGAAGATTAGCCTGTTTATATTTCACTTAAAAGTAAGGTATTGGTTAAGGCCTCGTTTATAGTAATCGCGCAAGCGCAATAAGCATTGGACAAAAGCAAGCTAATGATAAGTTAAAATTTATATTATCGCGCATCGCATCGCGCAGTCAATATAAATTTTACCTATATATTTGCTTTCTTTTGAAAAATATCCTGAAGGTTTTAGTTTTAGGATTTTGAGGGCTTTGTTACATAAACCCAGGTTTTTTTTCCCCTCAAATTTTTTTTAAAAAAAACTTAAATCGCTAGCGTTTTTTTATTCATATTTAAAAGATGTGATTTTTCCGGAATCGTATTCCGGCGACTATAGAAATACCTACCCTTCAATACTTTAGACTTAGTGACCACTCCACAATTCTTGGTTTGCATTTGGATCTAATTTTATAAACAAAATGGAATCTAGTTTATTTTGTCGATCATATTTTTTTCGCTCTGGAACCGATACTCGACCTAGCCGACCATTTTTTTTAAAATTTTTTTTCTAAGGATTATGAGGCTGTAGAAACCGGTCCAAAAAAGTTATAACTATAGACGGTAAAACTTACCTAATTAATTTACCCAAAATTTTTAGCCCCCTTTCTCCCAAATTCCTATTGGCTACTATGTATCCAGAAAGATACCCTGATAAATTGTGCAACTGTCTAAGTTGGGCAAAATATTGGTCTTCAACGGTAACTAGGAGTCGATCGAAACCTTAAATGACATTTTAAGTTAATAAAAAAAAATCGTCCTCTACACCCCCACCCCAACTCTCCCCTCACCCCCTTCAAAATATATACAATGAACATCTGCAAATCATAACCCGGCTCGAACGGGCTTCGGGCTGGATTTATCTATTTTTAAAAAAATAATTTCGGTTCGGGCCTGATATTTTTGAAAATAAATAATAAATCAAAGTTAATAATTTGTTAAATTAATGACTTCGTAATTCAAAATTTTAGAGAAAAAAAATTGATATAAAAAAAACCAAAATTATCTTTAAAAAAAATATATATAACTCATTCAATATCTGCTGGCCTACCTAATATTGCTAATACCCTTCCCAAATCTTGGCCAGGCCTATGACACATAATATATATATATATATATATTTGTACAGACTATATAATATGTATTAAAAATATCCTTTAAACAAACAAAAATATTTATTAGTGCATTCCCCCAGAGGGGGTCAATTTATCGAGCCTTATTACGGGCGCGAAGCGGAAGAGGAAGACTACGATATCAAATCGACACCCCTTTCGAGTTGCGACGACGGAGATAAGGAAACCGAGAGCCTGCTCAGTTTAAGTTATTATTCTAAAAAAAAATATTTTGATGAGTGGGTAAAAAAAATAAAACAAAAAAAAACACGTGATTTAAGTATTATTATTTTTATTAAATGGCGGTTCTAACAGACTAGCTAACCCCAGTCTACTTCAGGTGGCCTATGATGACCACGATGATATCTTTTTAATTTTACCCATTTTACCAAAAATTTATAAATTTAAATTTATAAATTTTATTATACAAAAATCAAGAATAGTTTTAGCACTTATTACGGGAGAATAGATTTGGTATTAAGCAAAACCTTCCAGAATCCAGACCCCCCCCTCCCTTATAAGCTAATGGTGTTGAGACAAGAGTCGTCGATGAAAGGGTTTTAGCAAAGCCCACTTGTTATTTTAATTTAACGCGTCCGCCCGCCCAATGTTTAAAATATTTTAGAAAACCTAGACCGGTCTAAAAATCCGCTTATTGCAGACCTCAAGTTGAGATATGATTAAAATATTAAATATATTTAAATCATAAAATGAATATTGTCTATTGCCCCATTCCATGAATTCGAATCATGCAATTTATCGCTCCCCTCTGGGGTTTCCTTATATCAGATATTTTGAATGAATTAAAAATTTATTAGCAATGTAGAATGGACTAGTATTATAATTATGAACTAAAAAAGGGAAACAAGGGGATTTCATTTTAATATTTTGAGTATTATAGTATTCCGTGCAATTCAATTACAAATTTCTTTAGAAAATTACTCCCCCTCTATGTCATTTATTTTATCTACATAGTAAAAAAAACCTAAATATTATTTACTAAATCTAAACTAAGAGCCGACGCCACTACAAATCCAGCCTAACCTTGCATTCATAGTTAGCGCGAATTGGCGGCCAAGTATATAAAATATGCTGTATTTTTGTATTCCTTCACGGCGAATTTGCGCTAACTGTTAATTAAGGGTAAGTCGAGCTCGTTGACTCGATCCATCTAACTGACAACACTTAGTTGAGTCATTTTTATTGTTGAAAATATTTGACAAATACGTTTGTTAAAAAAATATACAAATAAAGGTGAAAGGGAGCTACCAAACAGCCATTCTTCGCCCAACAGGAAGCAGCAGAGAATCACAGAGTTCCCTGATAGCTACTTATCGCCCACCACCCCATGTCAAATGAAGTCTAAGCGATACGAACAAGTTTATATGATGACATAAATTATCGTTCCTTTCTTTTAAAGAAGCCCATTACACTTTCCGGTGTCCATCTTAATTCCGCCATTTTGTAGAAAAATAAATTTTTTTATTCCGTTTATCCATAGCCCACTTCGTTTTTTTTTTAAAGTCAAATCTTGACTTATTTTTTATCACTTCACATTAAGTAGTTATATTTTTTTTTTGGAACGTAAATAATTTATTGATGTGTCTCTTGTTAAAAGATACGAAAAAAAAATAAGTTTTCCCGCCTCGATTCCCTATAAATAGATAAACTGTCATAGATTAATTCTTTTAAAAGCCGAATTATTTAACCCATAATAGGTATAAAATTATAAATTTGTAAGTTATAGTTTACAATAGAAATGCGAAAAAGTTCTGATAAAAAAAATTTATCAGCTGTTAATTATTGTCCTCCATCATTATGATAAAGCAATTATTATTTTGTTTACATATTAGAAAAAATAAAATACATTAACGAATATTTTTATCCATTTCCTCAAGGAAGCTAAATTGGAATCGCTCAATTCCAATGGACAAGATTTAAATCTAGCTAAGAATAACAATATGCATAGCGTAGAATGGATGCCTTCCCCGAATGGCACAGAAATGTTGGGCAGAATTATTCTTTACAAACCAATTACAACTTCGAGCTATGAAGCGACAGGAACTAACAAAGGTTCCACTGACATTATTATTATTTTAAGATTATTTTTTATAAAAAAAATAGTTCTAAACAACTTGCTTGGGTTGAAAATTATTGGAGGACAAGAAGTTCCGTCATACTTACCTTCCGCCAGATGGCGCAAGAGTGCTATTGTGGATAAAGTGAAACGGGGCAGTCTGGCTGATACTGTGGCGAGGCTAAGGCCAGGTATACCATATTACCAACAAAACTTTTCATTATTTCCTCTATCTATTTTTTAATTTCTCTTAAATCCTTTTCTTTATTGGCTGGTGAGTGATTTTAGGAGGAAAATCGCGTTTGAAGATTGAATTCGAGAATGGGAAAATATTTTTACGAACCGAATAGGTCAATCCCGCCCGGGGGGGGGGATTATTTTTCTCTAAATAAATTAATATAAAATCATTGCCACTTAATTATTTAACGAAAAATAGTGAATTCTACCAAAGAGTTACAGTGAATTCTACCAAAGAGTTACCAATAATATTTTATATTAAACACTTTTTACCCCCATATATGAAATTTATTATCAAAGCTTTTCCAATGCTTGCTAAGTCTTATTTTCTTTATTTTACAGCTGTTTTTAGAGAGTTTTTTTCCCCTCGCATCACCCCTTCTTACCCTTAGAATAGGATCTATGTATCTAAATTTGATAAGATGACATTACCCATAAATACGCCTCTATTTTTATTTTATAATATGGTTCAATCAGGTGACGAAATCATCAGCTGGAATGGTCACTTGTTAAGGGACAAAAGTTATGAAGAGGTCTCGCAAATTATCTCGAAATCCAAGCAAGAATTTAAAGTCACTTTTCTCGTCAGTAGACCTATACAGTTAAATATATTTTAAAAAAAAATTGAATTCTATTTATATCTTGTTTCTTTTCTTTTCTTTTCTCGTTATTTTATTTATTTATATATTCATCCATTCTTTTTTTTTATTTAACAGTTCCTTAGTCGTCAGCGAGCCCAGGAGCGACCGTAGGATAGAAAACAACGTTCCCGAAAGTTACCTCGATTTCAACCTCAAATACCGAAGGAAATTTATTCATAATAATCGTGGTTACAACGCTCGTCCTTCTTCTAATCTATCCCCCATATTTTCGCCCCCAAAGTTGTCAGGTTACTCATTTTTCGTCATGATTCTATATTCTCGAAGCCGAAAGATCTAGTTTAAAAAAAAAATGAGCTTAAGCATGATAATTAGCGCATTATCGTTCTCCGTTGCGATGAGAGAAGACACAATTAAACAAATACATCGCTTATGCGTAGCGATAGCGTGGAACAATCACTCCCCCTTTCCCCGACAGAATATCTATATTTTTTTTTGGGGGGGGGCTAGTTATGTTAGCGATTTATTCTTGGATGTAACCGGTGACGCTGAGCTCTAACTAGGAATAGTTAAAAAAATAATTATTTTTATGTTTTTTTTTAAATATAAAAAACGGGGGAAAAATATAACAAAACAAAAAAATGCTTAAAAATTATTTATAAGGGAATTTGGAAGTCAAAAATTTAATTTAATTCAATTTAACAAAATAAGGGTAAGATTGAAAATTTGCGATAAAATATCGGTAGATTGTATTTTTCACGAGGATTGTTGGCAAAGATATCTGAAAATAAAAAACATAGTTTGTTTTTTTCCCTTAGAAAAAAACGGTTCTTTTTTTTATCCCTAACTTCAACGAGCCTTTTTTTTAAAGCGAATTTTTAAAATCGTGAAATTTCGAAATTATACTTTTTGGCAAAGTTTCATAGATATAACATTAGACTTATATATAGTATTCAAACCGGCAAACTTCAATTAGTTGGCCCAAATACGATAACAAATATAAATTTAAAAAAAACATAAATTTATATATTGGAATATTTCAAGACGTTAAAACTAATAATATAACCATTAAAACTCTATTTCCCGATTCAATTTTACCGTTTTAACCTTCATTTATCGTTTTGAAGTTAGGGTTACTTTCAACTCGCCCGAGTTTTTTTTTTTAAAACCAAATTCTAATTATACACTAGCCACCACTAGTAAATTGTATAAGAAATAGTAAGGGAATAAAAGAAATTAGTTAAGCTATATATCAGAGATCTGTAGAGGTACAATTTGCCCCGGCCTCCCGGGTATATTTATAAAAAAATTAAACGGGCCTGGATGGCCGGGCCTGCAGGTCTCTGCTATTTATATATAATTTATTTGATATTCATTATGTGTACATACCAACCATTCTGTCGAAGGTGACGTATATAATAATAATCTGAAACATAAATGGAATATATAAATAAGAATGTCAATTGCTATAGAGAGGAAATAGTGTTGTTAAACGTGCTTCAGCTAACTCAATATTTTAGCCATAAAAAAATATTTCCTAAGCTTCTAAATTTCTCTAAATAGATGTCTAGAACTTTGTGCCCCCCCCCCTGTGAGTAAAATACTTCAGGATTGCTTAATATTCTTTTCTGAATAAAATAATTGAGTTGGCCGTTTTTTTACAACACTAGAAGAAAGAAAGAAGGAACAAGAGAAACCAATAAAAAAAAATAGGTGAAATTTTTGATCAATTATCAAGAAACGTGAAAAAATTTTCTGTTTTATGGATAACACCATTTTCTTACAATGCAATATTACCAAAAATTATAGGCCTTAACTCTTTTGATAAATACTAGCTATGATTTTATTTTATTATGAGGTAAGGAGGGGGAGGGGGCGCGAGAGTGATACATAAAAAGGAATGGAATAAAAATAATTAAAAATAAAACGAGTGAAAGATAAAATGAAAAATAATATTTATTTTTTAAAATTAAAAAAAAGAAAAATAAAAAATATGTAATATATTTTTTATCCCCCCCCCCCCTGCCCCCCATTTGTTTTGTTATTGATCGCAAACGTATAAATATAGAAATATTACAATATTTATAAGAGATTATGAATTGGACACAAATAAATTTATCGAATAAACATTAAATTAATCTTCTTATTTTTTTTTAGACGGGGCTAAATGGCAAGAAAACGTAAAACTAATTTTTACAACAAAAAAAATGTAATCTTAAAAATTTTATCTTTTAAAAGTGTTATTTTGTTTATAATTATGTTATATATAAAAATAAAATTAGAAAAATCCAATTAATATCCCTTTTTTTTGATCATATTAAAAAGTCAAATCCCCCCCACAAAAATATTTGTTTTTAACATAATATTTTTGGAAAGGTATATAAGGGGATGGGGGTGGGGTGACGAAGAAAACAAGACTAATAATGCTCCACAAAAAATAACATTTTTTTTGTGATGTAAAATATCAAAAAATTAAAAAATTTACGCACAAAAAAAATAGCGGCTTTTAATGTTTATACGCAGGCCCATGGTAGGAATATGGCCCCGCGAGACCAGGCGAGTGCGAATTCCGTAATGTGTGGGAGGGGCTTCGCGTTTTTTTCTTCAAAAAGTCCGTTACCCGAGGTCGCATATCTCGATACCCCGACTTACGTCATTACCTCTAAATCAATCAGGCCTTTTTATACAATGTTTTTATCATTTTTTATATTATATAAATAAATTCCAGGGCTAAGCACCGCTACCGCTTACCAACCCGCCTTTCAAAGCAGCGATTGGGTAAATGTGCCAGGCGTTTTAAGCGTCGAATTCCTATTGAGCCCAGATCAATCCGACCCCGGTCTTTGTTCCTTCGGCATGAGGATAATTTCGGCCAAGGATCTTTACTCCTCTTCCACCTCCTCATCCTTTTCCCTTCCTTCTTCCGTGACTATAACCGCCCAAGATGCGAATCTAGGAATTCCTTTCGTCAAAATTTATTTTTCGTGCCAAGGCAAAGAACCTATAGAGTGATATGATTATACTATAAATAAATCTTCATAATATACAAATATTCTAAACCGATACGAAAGAAATCTTTCATTAAATTTAGAGATCTTCAAAAATATTGAAGAAGAGTTAGGAACACTATTAAAGTTTAGCGAAACAAGATGTCAGACACATGAGAAAGCCAAATGTTTACTCACTAATCGTACCTTATAATAGATGGTAGATGGTTCAAAATTTGACTCAAAAAATTTGAAACATTTATATTTAGAATATGAGTCATTAAAAAAATTTATCAGTAGCTTACTCATATTGTCATAGAACAATTGAGCACTCCTGGGGGTTTAAATTAATAAAAAATATCAAGATATTTTGCAAAAGATGCCAATTCACCCCACCCCTTCCCATTTTTTTTTATCCAATCAAATCAGGCGACGAATTTCGAAATTTTTTTTAGACAATAAATTGTTAGGGCATTTATTTTTTTTAAAAAAATAAGAAACGGACAGTAATATTAATTATTTTGGGCGGTAAAGTTTATAATATTGGGGCAATTTAACACAAAGCTGCGAATGCTGCAGATAAAATTACACTATATACCTTTAGTAATTTTTTTAAAAAAATGTTCATAATAACTTTATTCATCCTAACTGTTGTAGCTGTTGAAAAAAAGAAGAAATAAATTTAATATAATACATCAAATGTCAGTTATTTTGTGACAGGGAAATTAGTTTTCCTGGTGGATGGGAGGAAAACGAAATTATCACATGGGTTGTTGTTAGAAAAGAACATTCTTTGTTTGGATTTGGAGTGGAGATATTGGATGAAGACGGGATTGATTGGGGAAGATTTAATATGTTTATATGTTATATATACATGAATAAAGATGAATTGTAGTAATGTTTATTATATTTATTTAATATTATTAGGAAGGATTATTTTGGAGTGATAAGTTATATTTTTGTGAGGGAAGGGTTGAGAGTAAAGGGCATTGTATATTTAATTTTTTTCAAAACTAACCTGTATTAATTTTTTTTTTTAACAAGGGTTTACAAATATTTTTTTTAAAAATTGCTATAATAAGTGATTATTAGATTAAAATGAGAAAGGACATGATTATTAATTTTATGTGACTTTATATTTTTAAAAATATATCCAGTAATTTTATTTAATTTTTAAAAAAGTACGTTTTTACAATTATTATTATAAGAGGATAAATCTAAACTTAATTAATAGGGTGTGGCGTGTTGCGGAGTTTGAAAAAAAATTTTTTGATTTTGTTTTTGAAAGATAATTTTTATGCACGAAAATTTATAAAAAGAATTTTTTTGTGAACAGATTTTGGCATCTTTAAAGGTAAAAAAAAAATTTAATCGAATAAAATCTTTGCCCTTCCAAAAAAAAAAAACTCTTCAATTTATGCACAGAAATTTGAAAGATTTTTTTTTCCAAACTCTGAACGTGTGGTGTGTAATATCATTTATAAACCTGAATCATTTGTTCAGCTTTATACCTATGCATTCGCAGTTTTATCGAGAAGAAAAAAATGACCTTTATTAAGTTTTGTTGATTGATTCATTTCATTTTTACACACATTATGATATGGGCACCGTTTGGAGCTAACATTTTTCTCCCCAACTTAGGACGCATTCATAGTGGTGGGTATACCCATCCGACACTATTTAACAGCTGATTGATTTTTAAAATCTGTTTATGAGATCAATATTTTTTTTTCTTTTTTAAATTCTATACACGATAATAACCTAAGAAATATTGGTTTTAATAAAGAAAAAATCGATTTCTCATAAAACCGATTTTAAAAACCGATTTTAAAAATCGATCAGCTGTTAAATCGTGTCGAATCGCGGATCCCACTTTGAATGCGGCCTTAGACGGTTGCCCAAATTTATCGAAGCATTTTTTTTTTCTAAATAAATGGTAGTCAGTAAGATTTTCTTTGGGACTCAAAATATTTGGACAAATTAGGGAGTTGTTTTACCCGCCAATCATCGAAGAGCCCGAATTACTATGAGTTATGTTTTACTTTTAATAATTATGATAATCGAAAAAATTGCGAAAAAGTACTGATCGGAAAATTCTTAATTTAACTTGCTGCTTTGATATTTTAAATAAATACTACCCAAAAACATTAGATACATCCCATTTTGATTATTTTACTCCCCTCAAAAAAAAAAATCATAACTAAGTAACCTTTTGCCATACCAATTAGAAGATATTTTTTTTTCCGCCAAAAAAACTTTCGGCAAAAATCTGCGTTTTGTCATTTACCTTATTTTGGAGGATCTACTAAACAATAAATGGGTGCGCCTCGGATATCAAACGCGTGACCCAAAGGGCGGGAAATTGGTTAATTTCCTTAGGAAGGAAGGAAGGAAGGAGAGAAGAGGAGTATCAGAAATTTGCCTTTTTTTTCGTAACTATCATTTTTAAAGAAGCAAAATTTCCCCTTACACACCCTCCACCACCCTTCTCCCTCCTAAAAAATGTAATATGTTTTCCAACAATGTGTTATTTTTTGAGCGCGTTTTTTTTAAAATTTTGATTTTACCGGATATATATTCCAGCTGTTTGGAATACCTAATCTTATGAATTGTCGATAATTTTACCGATAAACTTTTTAACCCCATTTTATAATTTATTTGAAAAAAAAATTAAACGGAAAAACTAATATAATAGATTTTATATCAAATTCAAAAGTTCACGACAAAAAATTATCTGAAATTCGTAGGGTTAGGGTATTCCAAACACATGATTGAATACATTTCCACTAAAATCGGATTAAAAAACAGAGTTAAACCCTTCTCGGTAGGTGGATATTATACAGCGTCAATTTCTATACGTATTTGAAGAGTCTCCTGAAAAATTTTGGATCAGTTTATAAATGTTGCTAAAAAGAAAAGGTACGAAGCCCCCTGAGATTGTAATGGCTAATGAGGCCCATATAATATAGCACGGACACCTAAAGACCTTCATAAAATTTATGGCGGAACCACTCCTCTTCTTCACATTGGGAAAATCTTGTATCCGGCCTAGACTCATTTTATAAATAAAAGAAAGAAGAAAAAAAATTAAGAATACGAAAATGGAAATGGAAAAATAAAACGAAAATCCAAAAAAATTTAATCGAAAAAAAAAGATTCATTTTTTTTTATATACATTATATATTTATATAAAGTTAAGTTCATCGTGGCGTGGTTTTTTTTTTGAACTGAAAATGAAACTCAATTATTATTCGCGATTTTGCAATTTTTTTCTTTTTATTTTCCAAAACCAAAATATAAAATTTCTTTTTTATCGATTTTAAAATTTATCAAAAAATAATAACTTTTCATTTATATTTTTTATTATTTTACATTAAAAAAAAATCATATTTTTTTTGTGTGATATTTTTGTTAATTTTAGGACAAAAATATTCAAAATAAAAAAATGATATAAAAATATTAAATTTAATTATTTTTTATTTTTATAAGAGAAAATTTTTATGGGAGGAATCGAAAGATTTATTGGATAAATAGATAATTGGAAAAAAAAAATTTTTTTTTTCTTTTCGCGAATTAGAAAATTAATCTCAAACTGCTTCAAAAATTTCCTTTTTTGTTACCACGAGGGATATATTAGAGACACGTCGAATATTTATTTGATTCCATTAGAATTGTCATCCGAAATTTATTTAAAATAATCGAAATTGTAAAACGGCAAAAAAAGATTTTCGACCAAAGCGGCGAATCAATATTCCGCCGTCTCTCGTTCCTGTATCTGGGATCAAGCTTTCAACGCCGGAATTCACGAATTCCAGGAACTATGCCATTCTGCCTCGGTTCACTTCGTAATTTTTACGACTGCCACTGCCAATAATCTTTCGATCCCGAAATTCGACGAAGGGGAGCAGAACCCATTTCTGGTATTGGGAGAGGTTTAGAATATGTATATATATTTTTGTCGTTCTTGTTGAAAGATATAAACATATATATATATATGTATATTTCAATGTAGTAATGGCGAGGGAAGTTGAAAGAACGACAGGTGACCAATATCATTTTTTTTATTATTAAAAATGGTAGTAAGTTAACCTAAAGCCCTACCGGACCGAGCTCAGGTCGGTCGGGCTCAAGCGGATTTGAGCTCATACCTATTCCTAAAAATACGGATTGGGTCGATCGGATAAGATTTTTTAAAATAATTCATTTCCCCGAATCAGGTCGAACCTGTACGAAATAGATCCGAAGTTCACGGTCCCATCTTTGGTCAGGTGATGACCGTTCCGTACCGCGATTTTCATATAAGTGGGTTTGGCCCAAGTGCGACCTAAAACCGGTAGTATCGGAAAAGAACTTTTTTTTTAAAAACAAACAAATATATTTATTTATTGACGAGATGATTTAACTCGTAGTGTTCTCCGTTTTTTTTTGAGTTGTAATCATTAGGGATTTTGTAGCAGCGGTTTTTTTTTACACTCGGATGCCCTTCCTGCATCAACCCATTCAAGTGGTATTCTATTATAGACCTATTAGACTTACATTACCCGCCAAAAGACGTTCTCACCACCCCCCGCCACGATGAGGCTGAAGGTATTGGAAGTTGTAGAATATAAAATCATCTAATTAGATGCTTAAAAGATTTAGATCTTTTCTAATTCGACAATGTTTTTAAGCCGAATAAAGGCTTTAAAAAAAAGTAGATACATTCTAGTGAAGGTTAACCAGGACCCGTTTTATACCGTTCTAACAGTCCAAAATTTTTTTTTCTTCTAGTTTCTTAAAATCTTATTTTCTCGCTACGTAGCCGTCTTAACCGGTTCCGGCTGATCTAACAAACTCACGAGTGATTGGACTAAAATTAATTTTTCTTTTGAATTGTCCAGTCACAATCAACGAGAAAGGAATAAATAATTTTTTTTTTTGTTTTTATGTTCCCGAGAAAATACGTCCTAAAAAAGGAAATCCAAAAATTCGCGAATAGAAAATGGGTTTTTTTTTTCGTTGAAGAATAAAATGCGCGATTATTTTGCTTATGACCCCCCCCCCCCCTCACTCAACGGCGAAGATTACAAAAAAATACAGCATATTTCTGTATGCTGCCAATCTAATTCGCGCTAACTTTGAATGAGAGGTTACACTTAGCATGGTTCATAGTCATTTTTAATTTGGTTACTTTAGAGCTTCGTTAGCTTTAAAATGAAAATTTAAAAATAATGAAAACAATTATTCAGGCTTTTGTCAAGATCCGTTCGCTGAATTTGAAGCTAGGTGTACGAGATAAGGTCATATTGGATTTACCTCTATTCATTCATGCCTCCGTTTATCACGTAAATTTTTTTTTCCTCATTTTATTATATACACATTATTTTAGTATAAAGTTTTTGGTACTTGCTAAAAAAAAAAAAATTTCCAGCTGAATCGACTAAATAAATCTATAGGCGCATATGCGTATAAAAGAAAATTTGATAAGCACTTAAAGCTCAGTCGATATATTTATGGCTTTCTTCAAAAAAAATGAGCTATATTTTATTTTTTTTTAAAAAATCTGAGGCTGGGGTGATAAACTATGCAGAACCCAATTTTTTTTAGCTGGCTAGAAACTAGTCCTATTTATTCGCCAGGCTAAAAATTAAGCTACCATATTTTAGTCGGCCAATAAAATAGGCCAAAATTGGCTAAAAATTGAATAATTATCCAAAACTGTAATTATTGGGTTTGAATGAATTAAATTACGAACTTAAAAAAATAATAATATGAAGAAATGATAATTATGTTGCAAAATCAAATTTACCCGACAGGATACCCGCACCAGAAACGCCAGAACACTCATGAGCCATCCCACAAATATGACGGGCGGCTATTACAGCGATAGGGAAGATCTCAGAACAGCGTACTCTTATCGAAAAGAAAACCCACCCGAAACTGAATATGTCGACAAATCTTCCAGTATCAAATATTTAATTTGCAATTCTGATTTAACGTTTTTATATAATTAAAAGTCATGCAAATTTTTACCGATAAACCTAGGGGAAAGAAGTGGAAATGTAAAAAATACGTCATTAGTATCTGAAAATATTGCAGGGGAATGGATCTCTTATTGAAATATATTTTTAAATAAAGGGTCCGATGAAACGGGTAGAATATTTTATCGTTCCATCAGCGATTACGAGGAAGACCTACCCAGTTCTGCTCAACACTCCTCGCTCACTTATAAACCACCTATCAACGATCCCCGTCATTCCGCAAAACAAATCATCGACGCTCGCCTGTTAGGGACATCGCCACATTTTTTCGATGAAACCGCGCCCAACGGGAGGAAATGGTCGAGTATAGGGAATTTGGAATACCGACCATCATTGAGGGGATATGCACACTTCACCGAAACATCGAAAGGTTTCGCGTCACAAATAAATACTAATCTTATTTATGCAATAAAATCACCACCGCTACATTAAATTATAACGACAACCATTATCCCAAGTTACTTGCCATGAAATAAAACGCGTTACCTTTACATCGATATTTTTTTAGAAAATGTAACGAATGCCGTTACTTTTTATCACTCTACAACACTCGATAATAAATTAGGAGCCTTAAATTTTTTATTATATTTTACACGAAAAAAATTATTAAAAAAATTATTTATAAAAAGGAATTAAATTTTTGTATGCTTCTATTTTTTTCAGTTCCCGATAGGCGGCCTTTAAGACACGAATCTTCCCTTTCAGGCGATGAACGGATACGTAGCGAGTACCCTTCCTATCTGTCACCATCCTACGTCGCCTTTTACGGGTAAATGATATAACCATTATTGCTATTGTCTATATATATTTGGATAATATAGGAAAAAAAATGTTCTTTTAAAATTAGTTTTTTAAATTTTATAAAAAGGTAATATTTGGTAGCCTCAGCCCCCCCCCCCCATCAATTTTCTCACGCTTATCCTTAAAACTTATATCAAGTCTCAATTTTCGTTAAAACCTAACATATCACTCTGATATAATAAATTAAAAGCCGAAATTATGACAATCCGAACATCCATTCTTTTCTTCCTCCCCGACATCAGAAATACTCGGATCACTTTTCCTACGCGTTCCATCGAACGAACCCGCCCCATGTTCTGGATAGCTCTAATGATAGACGCGAAGAATTTTACAGGAGAATGCTGCCCCGAATCCCTCTACCGGCGCCGCGGCGTTACCTCGAAACTCACAAACCTCAAAAGAGCTTCGATTCTAGCGAAATCTTTCGTTTTCACCATTATCCCGAAACTCTTTATAATCCTCAAAAAAGTTTCGACTCCAGCGAAAATAATTACGACCTACAACGGTTATGCCCACCTGCCTCGCCTCAAATTGCGCGAATAAGGTAAATTCACACATATATATATATATATATATCTATACTGTATTATTCAATTTCTTAAATAAATTATCCAATTTTTAATATTTAGTTGAAAATGAACCATATCTTCGCATTCTTTTACTTTTCAAAGTTTTAGTATTGGAGACTGAGGTAATTACACAAGATTGACTAAATTTAAATTTTATTATTAAGTAAAGTAAACCTCCCAAAAAAAGAATAAATAATTATTTATATAAAAAAGTATTATATAATATAATCCTTTATCATCATTTGCAAAGTCCTAAACATTGTACGAAATATAAAAATTAATAATGTACACCAAAAATTATGAATAATACAAAAAAAAATAAAAAAATTATAATTACCCACGCAAAATTAACATAATAAAAATCCATCATAACATTTGCAAAAATTTTATAGATTTTTTTTTACATACTATGTGATATACCTTTAAGATACCTCTAGAGGTCCAGGGTCAAAGAATATTTACCATTCCTAAGGTATTTTCCTTTTTGGATTTCCTTTTTTTTCAAATTTAAAAAAAAAACAATAATATTTCTTACCCCCTTCCCAAAAAAACAAAATAGAGGTAATCACCCTCTAAATTACTCGACACCCAACTATTACATTTCGTCCGGTGACGAAAGGGCGGATTACCACAGCGATACCTGTTACCACAATCAATATAGGTCGCCCGACGCTGGTCCTTCCATATTTTCCGACAGCGAGACCGCTAATATCAAGTAAAATAAAATAGCATTTCTAAGATTTATTGGGGAGGTGGGAATATTACCTCATTCATAATCAGTGATAAATGGCTCTGATTTTGCTAGTATTGTAGTACCAATTAGACTATTTCTCCAGTCAGGGATTTCTATTACGGGAAGGGAGGTGCCAGGAGCTTCTTGGGGCGGGGGAAAGTGACACAATACCGTCATCAAAATTGAACTTCAAACCGATTTTTCAAACACTTTGTTTTTTTCTTGTGCGATATAAAGCTATAATATGTGCTATGTCTTATATTCAAATCATATTTAACACCCCATCTATTCCACGGAAGTACTAAATCAGCCGACCAAAAGCGTAAAATTCTGCCTAGAGTAATGCCCGCCATAAGCAATAATCGCCTTCAATCACCCGAAATTACCCGTAAAAATGGCGAAGAATCGAAGGCCTCCAGAACTCCAGAAAAACCGCCTTCGAAATATGTCGAAAACCTCGACAAATCACCCGTGATTGTAGCCGACGATAACGACGAGAGGCAAACCTCCGAAAATGACGCGCTCAAAGTTTCGGCCAAAATTCAAAGGAAACCTAGTATAGGCGACATGGTTAACGCCGCTCTCTTCAAAATAGTCAAAAGGAGCAATTCCACTTCCCATATACCTCCTCAAGGTATGACCAAATTTTTTTAATTAATTTTTTTTTATCGAGAATAATAGATTTCTTTTTGATAACAGAAAAATTTGATATCATTTCTCTCTCTTGAAAAACTAAAATAGATACTGTTATATATTGAATTGTTTATTTTTGTTATTTTTTTTGTATTTTTTTTTTAAAATGTTAATTTTCATTATTATATTTTGTTATATGAATTTGAATAGTAAAAAGATAATGCGATTTGATAACGAATGAAATAAAAATATATTTCAAGAATTACTTCTAACATTATATTTTAGATTTAGATATAATGGGAAAAAAAAATATATGCTTACCAAAAAGCCATCAACAACGTTTATATATTTCTTCCCAATTTGAACATTGCATTTTTATCGAACTGAACAGAATGTTATCTTTATTAAGGGACCAAGGGCCTATAGCAAAGCCTCTTTTTATCATGAGCCTCCCCCCATTTTGCCCTGAATTCACAGTTAGCGCGAATTGGCCGCGTAGTTTACAAAATTCCCCACGCGAATTCGCGCTTGATTGCGAGACAAGGCTCATAAATTTGCGAAAATACAGTTATTTGTCGCCATCCGCGTCGCTTGGTCTTCAGGTGAGGAGCTCTACTTTAAAGCAGACTTATTATAAAAAAGAAATAGCATTTTAATCTTTATTCTTTTTTTGGGAGAGAATTTTGCTATTTGCATTCTTACCCCCCGTCCATCTTTTTCTGTTGCCGGTTACGAAGAAATTAGCTACTTTTTTAACCCAAAATTTTTAGACCTCGATTCTATTACCCTTATCCAAACCCTTTTATCCCTCGGACTTCTATCTTACATTCTTAGACCTTATCTTTCAATGTCCACACCTTGGCAGTCCATTCCTTTAAATCTTAAGCTAACCCGTATAAATATCATTCATTTTAACCATTATCAGCCAATATATTTCTCATGCATAGTATTATAATATAATAAATCAAATCACTCGACCCAGATCTGGCGGGCGATGTTGAAAAGCCTGAAAAACCGAACACTTTATCGAAAAAAAAGTCGAAAGAAATCGTCTCCCCCAAATCGGACAAATCAAGTAAAAAATCACCCAACAAACCTAAAATCGCGACGGACACCAAAAAGCATGGTGCTATCATCTCTAAAAAGTCCGAAAATGGCAAGGTCAGAGAAGGAGTTATTTATTATCAATTAAAGTACTTAATAATAAATATTTTTATGGCCTTTTAAAATTCAGAATCCTAACCCCGCAACCCTCCTCAAAAACGACAAAGGCAACACCTTGCCTCAAAATGGCGTCGACAAATCAAAATTACAATCGTCTCCCAAAATCCCGAACAACCTCGTCACTACATCCTCAGTAAGCGGTGGCGTCGGTAGCTCTAAAAATCTGCGAAAAGCGGTCCTACTCAAACAAGCTAGCAAGGATTCTTACGATAAAGGCCGACTCAGTATAAGCAGTGGAAGTGGAAAGTTTTAAAAGAATATTTTTTTATTATTTCTGAAAGAAAAAATAAAAGATGGAAATAAAGAGAGGAAGAAAGAAAGAAAGAAAGAAAGAAAGAAAGAAAGAAAGGAAGGTTGGTTAATAAAAACCATACATTTATTTATATGATATATTCTCAATATATTATAGATTTTACGTGTTTTATTGTTGTACCTCCGTTGTGTTAAAAGTAAATTTATAATTTGCTTTATATATATAATATAGTATATTGTAGTATATGTTTGTTTATCTAAGACTTTTAATTTGTGTCATAAGTTTTTTCATCAATCCACCCGCTAGCTGTTTATTCAAAAGTAAGGTTCGCGGTTTGGTGCATGAAATTCTTTCCGGTCTTTTTGACCGCTAATTTATTATATCACAAATAAATTTACGTTTTCGTAAAATTTTTGTTTGAAATTTTTTTTGCCTGATACATTAATAGATTAATATTGACCATTCGAAATTATTATCATTCTTTCCCCAATAACAAATCAAAATTCCATTTGATTGGAATACTCTGCGCATGCGTTTACATTTTTTTACCTAGATTTTTTTTGTAATTTTTTTTAAACCTATTACAGGGTTGCTATCAATCTTTCCCCAATAAAAAATCAAAATTCCATTTGATTGGAATACTCTGCGCATGCGTTTACATTTTTTTACCTAGATTTTTTTGTAATTTTTTTTAAACCTATTACAGGGTTGCTTGAATATCGAAGTGCTCTATAACTCATCATTTTTTAAAAAAAAATAAATAAACTTTCAAAATTGCTAGACATTCTAATTATCTTTGACGCGTAAATTCTAATTTTTAGATTAAAATTTTTTTCTCTTTAAATATCGACGTAAATTCAGATATTTTTGGAACTTTTATTTCTTAAATGAAACGTAAGTAGGAGCACTCCAACAATCAAGCTCCTGCCCCGCCTCCGATTTACTATTTCTCACCATATATTTTTTAAGGTGTAAATTGAACGAAACCATGTATATCAGGAAATTTAAATTATAAAAATCCCTTTTCTCCAATAAGCGTATCCTCATCTTCCAAAATGACTTCCTCCTTAATCCTTCCCACTACCCCCACGCCTCCGCCCTCATTAGCAAGTTCTTCCAAACAGTATCCTAAATCATCTGCATCTTCTACTTCTTCGAAAATGTCAGTTACGTCCCGACCAACCTCCACCAAATCTCCCGATTCGCCTCTCCCTTCTACCTCCGATAATCAGATAGAAGCCCCAAACCCGCATAAGTGTTCGCCACCCGGTGATGCTTCCGATTTGCCTTACGATAGTTTTATAGAGGGTTTAGGCCCGGCCCAGATCGTGGGTATGCAAATGTTAACCAGCCCTGCCTTGGGCGATGTTCAAGTTTCGCTCCAAAACGTTAAAAAGCCCGCCAGCGTTTTAAACATTTATTCTTTCGCGACGAATTCTCCTTCTACGACATCAAAGTATCCTAATCACGAATCGGAAAAATTATCAGCTCAGGAAGACGGGAAGGGACTCGAAGTAGAAGTCATAAGGGCCAGAGGTCTGGTCTCCAAGCCTCACGCCAAAGTTTTACCAGGTTTCTTTTTTTGAGGAAAATAAGTACTTATAGTAATCTTATATGATGCTAAATATGAGTTAGGCCTATAGTTACTTAGGTATCATATGTCTTAGGACGCGTCTTAGGTTATATATCTACAAAAACGTTTTTGAAATCCCAGCTACCAAGCTATGAAAACTATATTTTAAACAAGAGTACAACAAAAAAAAATAAAGCATTTGAAAAAAAAATATAAAATTTTGGGCAAAAATCTCTTTAGATATCAACAAAAATGAAGATTTATTTTTAACATAAAATGCAATTTTGGAAAAAATTTCATCCAAAATATTTTCAAATCTCATAGGATTTTCTATCCATTTAAAAATTATTCCTTTTTTTATTTTTATCAATCTTTCAATATTTTTTTGATTTTAAAGGAGATTATGAAACCTTGAAAACATTTTGATTCGTAGTGTTAACCTAATGCTAAGATAAAGTTCAATCTTTATTATTACAATTTTGGAGTATAGAATATAGCTTGTATAACTAATACCAATAAAGCCCAATGCGGTTCATAAAAATGAAAAATTAATATAGCGCTTTCTAAAAATAAATGGGACCTAAAAAATAAAACACTTGAAAAGAGAAAATTTATCTTTGAAATGCGAAAATTTCATAAATTTTCTGATATATTTTATATTTACCATTTTTCACCATAATAAATTGATTTGTAGCTACTAGATCTTGGTTCGACATTTAAATATAATACGTCGGATAGGGAATTACAAGTGTTTCTCGGGAGTTTTCGTGTTAAATATGGCAAAAATATTATAATACATTTTGTGGATTAAATTATATAGTAATATAACAATTCCTATTTTATTTTATTTTTTTTAATTCGGAAAAATAAGCTCCTTACGTAAAATTATATTTGCTCGAGGGAAAGAGGTGTGTCGCTAAGGCCAAAACCTCTGTCGCCAGAAGGACCCTGGACCCGTTGTATCAGCAACAATTAGTATTCGATCAAGACTACCGCGGAAAAATATTACAAGTTGTTATATAACATTAATAATATGTAAATATTTATAATCAACTCAAGGGATGACGTATAACGATGATAATAAAGATACTTATTAAATAAATCCATGATAATAATAAAGATACTGATTCTTGATCAATATTACCTTTATATTGTGAGCTAAGATTCTAAGACAAAATATATCATTCTCCAATTATAACCGTTCAAGGTTATATATCATTATCATAATAATTTAATTGTTCTTTGGATTTCTTTAATTTACCTTCCAAACACAAGTTTTTCTAATTGCATTTCCAAAGGATTCGAAATCGGCCCGGGGTTTCATAAAATTCGAAAAATTTTACTTTGTATATTACAAATTTCTGGACAACCATTTAAATTCAGAGTATTTTGGGACCGGGTGGGTTCAGACCAATTTTGGAAGGGTCATTATTTCAGGTTTACGTTGAAAATTCCTGAACTCACTTCCGGTTTTGGGACTATTAGATTTTTAGATAGTAAATTTTTTTAAAATTTTTATAGTCAAAAAATATATTCCCTATTTAAATTTTTTTATTTTAAATGAAAAAGATAACGGTTTGGGGCGAATACTCCAAACTCGAACGCAAGTCATTCATGGGCGTGTGCCAAATAAGGCTCGATCATTTAGGTCTCGACAAAGGTGCCGTGGTCATAGCCTGGTACAAACTCTTCAATAACACCCCTTCCCTCAGTTCTCAGTCAGCGAACGCGCCGGTTAGCAACGTGGGTGGTTTATTTAGCGGGTTATCGAGCGAGATTGCCAAAAAATCCAAGGATAAAGATAGAGACGAAAAGAAATCGCGACGCCGTGGCGGCGATAAGGAAAGTAACAAGCAGTCACTCAATAGACAGCGTTCCTTGTCTTCCATCGAAAGATCTTGAAAATATTTTTTTTTCTTTTCTAAATGATAATTTTTAAATCTCTCCCCACCCCCCTCCTATTTTTTTTCTTGCACATCTATCCTCCTGGAAAATAGTTTATTTTACAAAAATGACATCATAGTTTAATTAAAGGCATGAATATAATTTTTATAATTATTCCAAACATTTTAGTATAATTCCTAAAACTATATTATTTGTTTCATATATTTAATTCCAGTATAAAGCATGTATTTTTATTTTCAAATCAAAGACACACAAATAAAAAAAAAATGAGCTTCCCTATTTTTGAATTAAATCTCAAAACTATATTTCATATCAGATTTTGAATTATTTTGTTTCTTCTTTATTTTTATTTTTATTTAAAATCTCTTTTATTCATTATTATTATTTATTTTTATAAATTATTTCCCTTTTTTCTTATTTGTTTCCTATTTTTTTTTGAATCTTTTTAATGATTTAACTATGTTGTATTTTTGATTGTTTATTTGAATTTATTTATTAATTATGATATTATATAGTATATATATATTACATATTTTAAATTTTCAAAAACAAAAAAAAAAATACGATAATAAAATTGATCTATTATAAATAATTACATGTCATAAGGAAGAAATAACGAACGAACGAATGGAAAGAAAGAAAGAAATTAAATAATGAATTAAAAATAGGAATGAATATGGAAATTACAAAGGAAATAATATTATTTGTAATTAAAAGTATTATCTAAAATTCTTTTCCTTAATATTCTGGATATGTAGCGTGATTCAAAATTTTCACTCTTCTTCAGCCTCCATTTTTCTCTCTAAATATTATAATTTATATTTAAAAAAAAATAAGTATAAATTTCTTATAAATGAATTGTGACACCGTTACTTATAATCAAGGCTTAGAGTAACTAACTGCAAGTGGTTGCTAAGTTACCGCTATAGTGATTTTTGGATAATGCAGTCTAGCTTAGCTAGCCTTTCAAAATAATAGTTTAATTACTAGTTACATTTTTTTAAAGCGAATATCATGCTTAAAGATCATTTATTTATGATGAATCAATTTAATGACAAAAATTAAGTGATATTATATCAAACAATTATTATTATTATTATACTTTAAAGATGAAATTGTTATAAATTCTCATTTTTGTAGCCTTTACTTATATAGCTTATCACTGGAGTGCTTCCCTGAAATTTTTTTTATAAGGTATTCAAGCTCAAAATTTGTTCCGCAAAGTTTTTTAGGTCAAAAGTGTAAAAGTAAATTAGCAAAATTTGTATATAAGATTTGATTTTATATAAAATCTATCAGATTCTTATAGCCCCCCCCCCTCCCGTTTCGTTTGTTAGTTTATTTGAGTAAATAAAGCTAATATAATATATTCTGAAAATTTAGAGGCATATAACTATATTCTCTAAGTAAGACAAAATTAATAAAAGTGATAAATATTAAAAACACGATGTCTTGAAAAAATAAAACGGTAATGAGAATCTAGGAAGGAGAAGGAAAGAAAAGTGTAGGGAGGCATGGAAGAGATAAAACTTAAATAGTTAGAACGAATAATCGAGGTAGCAAGTCTTTGTAAGAAAGGGGATTCCATCACTCACAATATAATAAAATAGTTTCAATAGTCTCTAGTAATTTTGAAGCCATTAAGTAAATTATGTTTTATAAAGGTAGCTCATAGCTTATTTTCTTTTTAATAGTAGCATGTAGTCAGTAATATTTTTCTCATAGTTAACATACCCACCGACAAAGACTAATTTTATAACCTATAAAGTAAATTAACCAAAGAATTACTATTGGAGAAAAGAAATAATTTATTATTAAAAAAATATTTTACCTATACATCTACAGGTTGGACAACCTCTAAGGTCACTTTTGAATCCATTTTTACATTTGAAACCACACCTTACTCGTTTACATAGATCTAAATGTAAATATATTTTCAAAGTAAATTTCCTTCACGCGCATTAATATTCAAACCTAAAAAATTAATTGTCAACAACTTAAGTTTACTATATAATTACTCATCCATTATTCTGCAACAGGGATGGGCATAATTACTCAAAAATAGTAATTAATTCCTAATAACAATTACTTACAAAATTTTTGTATTTAATTATAATTACTAATTCCTTTTCTAAATACATGTAATACTGATTTTCTAGAGTAATCATAATTACATAATTGTAACTCCTTTTATAATAAAATTAAAGTAGGATTTGATTAAAAATCATAAAATATAACGATTTTTATTACTAGATTTTTATGTTTGAATAACAGAAATTTTACTCTTTCAATATAAAGTACAATATCATGACATTTGTATATAAATTAGTATAATAAACAACATTTGATTTATACAATTATTGTTTTATTCAATCGAATTCGCTGTTATAAAATGGAATATTATTTATGATGTCTAAATCTAAATTGTTATTATGAACATTGACATTTGGACCTCTTTCTTTACCTTAATCAACAAATGAGATTGAATATTTTTTTAACTAATATTTTTATAAAAAAAAACTTAAAACTTTTTTTTTAAAGTATCTATTTTTCAAACGATTCGTTATTTAAACGTGTTTTATGATATTACTTATTTAGCAAGGTTGCAAAGGCAAATAGTCTTTCTACAGACGCCGATAAAGGCAAATATGCTTTAGAATTTTTATAATCAAGCTTACTTAAAACATTAGACACTTGATGACTTTGAAAAAATTATAGTAAAATTTGTTATATATATGCTTTCGATGATTCAGTAAAAAAAAAAATGGATTAGGAATTTAATATTTATATATCCTTCATTTTAGGAAATTATTATTAATTTGATTGTGGTCCCTTGCGATTTGAACGCAGAATGCACAAACAACACTTGTGGTTTTTATTAGTTTTTGAAAAAACAAATTGAATTTGAAAATTGTTATTTTCAATTTATCTTATTGTATTTTTGAAGATCAATTATCAGAGTGCAAGGTAAAAATTCAGAAACAATAGTTCAAGGTAAAAATTAAAAATTCACAAACATTCATTATGTTTCCGCCAAAAAATATACGGAATATTGCAATTATTAATTATTTTAAAAATATAAAAAGTATAAATGAATGATTTAAATTTATTAAGCGTTTTTCATTAAAAATTAATTATATAAGAAAAGGAATCATAAATGTAACTGCGAATTCCTAATTAAATGCCTGAAAAAAAATATAATTTAATTACTTACCTTTTTTTTATTGCGAAATTGTAATTAAGGAATTAATTACAATGTAATTAATCATGTCAAATCTTACTCTGCAATTCTCTAAAAAAGTCGGGTAAAAGAAAGAAAGTAAGAAAAATCTCCTCATACCACTTTTAGATAAGCCACCTTCATCTCTAATTATACCACTTTTTGGTGAGTCTTCTTCCTCGCTAACGGGATCGGCACATTTGCATACTTGACAACCAGCGTTGTCAGTAATTCTCTTACAACCTGTTAGACATTTACTTTTAGGTGGACAATCTGATTCATCGATGTCAACCAGTTTTTCTGTTTACAAAATCAATTTTTAAATTAATTCTTTCTTTTTTTTAAAAAATATTTAAAATTAAACGATCTATCAGAGATATGTGCGATTTTAATATAAAACTCACATCATTTTTATTGGTTTTTAGCTAAAATAAATATACTCTTACGAACTACTAACTTATAATATGATTTCGCATAATTAGAAATTAGTATTTATAGATTCCAAATTAACCACTGAAATTACTTATAATCAAGCACTATCCCAAGCTAAGGAACTCCGAAATTATAACTTAACATTGGAGAACCTTAACTGAAGGCTTAAAGTATTTAAATTTCGACACCCCCGTGTCAGACTTTATGAAACTGCCTAACATGATCCCTTCATATTGAGTCAAATGTAATATTAAGTTGAAGATTTATTAATTATGATGATCAAATTCTTTGCAACACAAATTTCTGTGATCAAACTGAATGTGGTTTTAGCGAACAATTAAAAATTTTCACACGAATTTCTTAGTTTATTTAAATATCGCATTTTTTTTTGGAACCTAGTTCCTAACTTTATGACAAAGAAGAAGAATATGGAAACTTTTATTAGTAAGACAACATTCAGTTCAATGGTATTACATGGGGATGAATCGAAATTTGAAAATTAAAGTACATCAGAAAAATAGAAGCGGGTGAGGAAAGGGGGGGGGGGTTAAGATTAAATTACTTTTTTTATCCCGAATATCGGGGTCTCTGATAATCGAGGAACCTCCAGATGGCAGAACATCTTCATCCTCATCGGTGCATCGGCAACTTTGACAACCATTTCTGTCAGTTTGAATACAGTCCCTGCGACAGTTTCTATCAAATACAGGGCACTTCTTCACTATGCCATCATCCTTCCAGTAATCTTTTGATATATATATATATAAAGGAAAGAGTGAGGCAAAATATAATACTAAATCAATTGTATTTTGCATAGTATATTATATATTTTATACAGGAATGATACTATAAATTGAATTTATATTAGTAGGATAAAACTGTTTTTAAGTTATTGAAACTTGTTAATATCTAGATAAACTTTATGAACCTTAGGATTTAACAGAGAGGTATATTTTCTTTTATTAGATACTATTTACCTTAACAAATTATGAGTTGGAAAATTTTTAAAATTATGATTGCGTCTGCCAACTTTATAATTATCCTCCAAGAATGCAAAATAGAGCTACCTTAGTTGCAAAGTATTAAAAAACTTTATCGCACAATCTATCACGAAAAATATGAATGAATAAAAAATAAATATATAATATAATGTATAACATCTGGTGTAGAGAGATCTTTGGCCTGCCACTATTCCGACAAGGATCAATAATCCTAAGAAAAATAAACGGGGTTCCATATTTTTCACTTTATTTAAAAAATTTTAGGGTATAAAAATCGAGAATTTTATTTGCGGGAATGAAACGGATATAATTAAATTTTCAAAATCAAAATGTTTTAAAAAAGCCAAAAATTATTTTAAAAAAATTGGGAGGATTATATTTGTCAAGGTTAATAATGATCGATGGGAAGTGTTTTAAATGTCATATAAATATACGTTTTCATCAAAAAATAATTAACAATTCGAGTAGAATTGGATAACTGATAAGTTGCAAAATCTTGGCTGATATTAAAAAAAAAGAAAAGGAAAAAGGATATACCTTTAATATGAGAGATCTTTTATTCAGTTCAGGTTGTCTTCATAAGATTATTAATAACTTTCTTTCTCTAATTCTAAATGCGAAACAACTTCATCTTACGTATTTAATTATTCTATTTTTTTTTAAAAAAAAATATCAAATCTGTCAGATAAAAGGTAGTGTG